GACCAAAGAGGAACAGGGATAACATTTCCCTGTCTATGAGTCTTTTAAAAGTTTCTTAATATATTATCCCCATCAGCTTAGGGTTCCCTGTGGAAGCAACCAGTAACAATATTTAATATATTTATGAAGTTGAGCAAAGTCCTCTTTAGAAGTTTTCACTCTTGATGTTTTTAGGAGGGCATGGAATAATTTTAAACAATCCTCCAGTTTAGCTGCTTTAGTTTCATTTTGGCCCATTACAGTGTCTCTGACATCTTGACCCTATCCCTATGTACGCTTTCCTGGGAGTCTTACCAGATTGACGATCTTTGGAGCTCCGCTGTTCTGAATTTTCAGGTCCTTGTTCAGGTGCCACTTGGTGGTCCCTCCTTGCCTCTGACCCACAGATAAGGGAGGAGACATGATGATGTATTGAAGATCTGAAAGGACGAGCCAGGGGACTCGAGGCTTAACAGTACAAGAATAATGCCAAAAAGGCACCTCTCATATTTATTGAGCAAATGAACTTAAAATGAACTTAAACATCATTATCTGGCCTTAAGTCTAGTCCAAGGATGTGATGCTTCTCAAGGATACTGAAACCATGTGAGGGTGGTCACAAGTTGTAGGAACTGTTTTGGTTCTAGACATTCTGTTTTTGTTTACACATCAAGAGTTGTATGAAAAACAATCAAGTCACATGAATTTGTACATTTAATTTCTAGATTACTTAATTTATGTATTAATCCCATTAATACCGCAATATATGACCTATTATTTAAAATGTTCCATGTGCAGTAGAGAAGAATGTGTACCCTGCTGCTTTTGGGTGTAGAGTTCTATAGATGTCTGTTAGGTCCATCTCTGCTAATGTATTGTTCAGTGCCTCTGTCTCCTTACTTATTTTGTGTCTGATTGATCTGTCTTTTGGAGTGAGTAGAGTGTTGAAGTCTCTTAGAATGAATGCATTGCATTCTATTTCCTTTTAATTCTGTTAGTATTTTTTTCACATTTGTAGGTGCTCCTGTGTTGGGTGCATAGATATTTATAATGGTTACATCTTCCTGTTGGATTGACCTCTTCATCGTTAAGTAATATCCTTGTCTCTTGTCACTTTCTTTGTTTTGAAGTCTGTCTGATACAAGTATTGCAACTTATGTTTTTTTCTCCCTATTAGTTGCATGAAACATCTTTTTCTATCCCTTCACTTTTAGTCTGTGTATGTCTTTGGGTTTAAAGTGAGTCTCTTGTATGCAGAATATAGATGGGTCTTGTTTTTCATCCATTCAGTGACTCTATGTCTTTTGATTGGTGCATTCAAACCATTTACATTTAGGGTGATCATCGACAGGTATGTACTTATTGCCATTGCAAGCTTTACATTCGTGGTTACCAAAGGTTCAAGGTTAACTTCCTTACTATCTAAGAGTCTAACTTAACTCATTTAACATGCTATTACAAACACAATCTAAAGGTTCTTTTTTTCTCCTCATTTTTCTTCCTCCTCCATTCTTTATATATTAGGTATCATATTGTGTACTCTTTGTCTATCCGTTGGTTGACTTTTGGGGTAGTCGATTCAATTTTTCATTTGCTTAGTAATTAACTGTTCTACTTTCTTTACTGTGGTTTTATTACCTCTGTGGTGATAGCTATTAAACCTTAGGAACACTTCCATCTATAGCAGTCCCTCCAAAATACACAGTAGAGATGGTTTGTGGAAGGCAAATTCTCTCAGCTTTTGCTTATCTGGAAATTGTTTAATCCCTCCTTCAAATTTAAATGATAAGCTTCCTGGATAAAGTATTCTTGGTTCGAGGCCCTGTGCTTCATTGTATTAAATACATCATGCCACTTCCTCTGGCCTGTAAGTTTTCTGCTGAGAAGTCCGATGATAGCCTGATGGGCTTTCCTTTGTATGTGATCTTTTTTCTCTCTCTGGTGGCTTTTAATACTGTCCTTATCCTTGATCTTTGTCATTTTAATTATGATATGTCTTGGTGTTGTCTTCCTTGGGTCCCTTGTGTTGGGAGATCTGTGTACCTCCATGGCCTGAGAGACTATCTTCTTACCCAGATTGGGGAAGTTTTCAGCAATTTCTTCCTCAAAGACACTATCCTTTTATCTCTTAGTCTTCTTCTGGTACCCCTATAATGTGAATATTGTTCCGTTTGGATTTGTCACAGTTCTCTCAATATTCTTTCATTTTTAGAGATCCTTTTTTCTCTGTGTGCCTCAGCCTCTTTGTATTCCTCTTCTCTAATTTGTATTTCATTTATCGTCTCCTCCACTGTACCTAATCTGCTTTTAGAACCTTCTATTGTATGTTTCATTCCTGATACTGTGTTCTGTAATGATTGGCTCTCCGACCAGAATTCCTTCCTGAGTTCTTGAATATTTTCCTGTACCTCCATGAGCATGTTAATGATATTTATTTTGATGTTAATGAGGTTGATTTCATTTGAATCTTTTTCTGGTGTATTCATAATTTTCCTTTGAGCCAGGTATCTTTGATGTTTCATATTTGTATGCGGTGCCCTCTAGTGCACAGAAGCTCTACTCTCTGGAGCTGCTCAGCCCCTGGAGCAATGTCAGGGGTTGCAGGGGAGTGGTGTTGGTGCCTGGGGCAAGGAAAGAACTGTTTCCTGCTTCCTGCTGCTATGCCTGTCTCCACTGCTCAAACCAGTGGGCCGAGCACAGAGGTATAAGCCTCCATGCTTTGTGTTTGTAGCTGCTGTAGGCGGGGCTTCCCTCTGGCTGGCCTAATGCCAGGGTCGGGTTTGCCGGTTTGCGAGCCAGGTAGGGCTGGCTAGGAGAAAGGCGCAGCAGGTTGTGTATCATTGTGGAGGGCCTTGGAGCTGCATAGCCAGCCAGGGGGCTGGTGCATCTGAAGATTGTAAAAGTTCCCAACCTCCTGGGCTGGAGTGCAGCCAGAAAATTTTGTCTACCTGTCCTTGCTCCTGAGCAGTAAGTTCTGTGCAATCCTTGCCCCTTTAGCAGACTTCTTAACTGTTAGGAAGTCTCTAAGACTGCCCACCTTTCTTTTGTTCCAGAGCAGCCAGATATGGATCCATGTTTTCCATAAGCAGCTGGAATCTCAGTCTCTCCAGGTATTCTGTCTGTCTTAGCTTTCCAATCCACCTAATCACAAGAGCAGCATGAAATGTAGGTTTGTGCTCCCAGAGCAGATCTCCAGACCTAGGTGTTCAGCAGTCCCAGGCCTCCATTCCCTCCCCACTCTGTTTCTATTCCTCCTGCCAGTGAGCTGGTGTGCGGGAAGGGTTTGAGTCCCACCGGGCCACAGCTTTGTTACATTACCCTGTTCCATGAGGTTATTCTTTTCTCCAGGTGTATGCAGTCTGGCGCAGCCCTCTTTCCTGTTGCTCTTTCAGGATTATTGTATTAATTATATTTTCATATTATATGCTATTTTAGGAGGAAGCCTCTGTCTCACCTGTCATGGCACCATCTTTAATCCACATTGTTTTTCATGTGAAATCTTTATAAGGTGTTTATCAATAATGCCTTAATAAAAAAACTGAATAGTAATAAAACCCCTCCCCTGGCATCAGAGATGAAGAATACAGTAACTGAAATAAAAAACATACTAGAGGGTATTTATCAGTAATTTTTTAAATGAGGAGAGGTTACAGGATCTATGCAACAACTCAAGTGCGAGAACATTCACATTATAGGTGTCCCAGAAGGAGAAGATAAAAAGAAAGGGGGAGAAAACTTATTTGAAGAACGAACTGTTAAACATTTCCCTAACCTGGGGAAGGAAATAGACATCCAGGTTCTGTAATCACATAGAACCCTAAGCAAAATAAACCTAAGAAGGTCCATATCAACACACATAATAATTGAAATGTCAAAGATTAAAGATAAAGAAACTTAAAAGCAGCAAGAGAGAAGCAAATAGGTACATATGAAGGAAAATGCATAAGGGTGTCAGTTGATTTTTCAGCAGAAACTTTACAGGCCAGAAAGGAGAGGCAATATATATTCAAAGTGTTAAAAGGATAAACCCTACAGCTATAAATATTCTACCCAGCAAGGCTATCATTCAGGATTGAATAGATAAAGAACTTCTCAAACAAAAATTAAGAAGTTTATCACCAATAAGCTGGTCTTACAAGAAATGTCAATGGGTCTTCTCTTAAGTAGAAAAGAAAAGGCCATAAGAAGAAGTGATAAAATTATGAAAGGAAAACATTTCACTTGTATAAGTAAAAACACACAAGGTCATAGACCAGTCACTTATAAGCCAGTATGAAGTTGAAAAGATAAAATGGTAAAATCAACTGTAAACACAAAATTAGTGAAGGGATAGACCAAATTAAAAGTTACAAATTGTATACATAACACATTGGGGCAGGGATAATAAAAAAGTACTACTTTTAGAATATATTCATACTTAAGTGACCATCAACCTAAGATAGACAGCAATATACATAGGATGGTGTACATGAACCTCACTGTAACCACAAACAAAAAACATACAATACACAAAGAATAAAGATAAGGAATCCAACTACAACACTAAAGAAAGTTGTCAAATCATAAGGAAAAAGAGCAAGAGAAGAAGGAACAGAAAAGAACAATTAAAGAAACAACAAAATGGCAAAAAGTATATACCTATCAATAATTACTTTAAATATAAATGGACTAAATGCTCCAATCAAATGACATTGGGTGACTGGCTGAATAAAAAACAAAACCCATCTATATGCCGCCTCCAAGAGACCCACTTCAGACCTTAAGATACATACAGACTGAAAATGAGGGAATGGAAAAAGACATTCTATGCAAATGGAGGTGGAAAAAAAAAGCTGGGGTAGCAATACTTATATCAGACAAAATAGACTTCAAAACAGTGTGTAACAAAAGATAAAGCAGAGCATTAGATACTGAAAAAGGAATCCCCCATGAGTATATAACAATTGTAAATATCAATGCGGCCAACACATATATAGCACCTAAGTATAAAAAGCAAGTATTAACAGACATAAATGGAGAAGTTTATTGTAATACCATAATTGTAGGGAACTTTAAAACCCCATTTACATCAATGGATAGATCATGCAGACAGAAAATCAATAAGGCAACTGTAGCTTTGAACAACACTATGGACACTTTAAAAAATGGTACTGGGGCTGCCTTGGGCACCTGAAGGAGACTTGGGGACTCTGGGGCTGCACGGTCTGGGTGGTTGCGAGTCACTGCTGCCTCCGCTGCTGCCGCCAGAGCCCGTACTCCATGAGGAAGATGCTCGCTGTGGTCTCCCATGTGTTGTCGGGCGTCACCCAGAAGCCGGCAAGCAGAGTGCTGGTGGCATCCCGTAATTTTGCAAATGATGCTACATTTGAGATCAAGAAATGTGATCTTCACCGGCTGGAAGAAGGCCCTCCTGTTACCACACTGCTCACCCGGGAGGAAGGGCTCAGATACTACAGGATGATGCAGACAGTCCACAGAATGGAGCTGAAGGCAGATCAGCTGTATAAGCAGAAAATTATTTGTGGTTTCTGTCACTTGTGTGATGGTCAGGAAGCTTGTTGTGTGGGCCTGGAGGTTGGCATAAATCCTACAGACGATCTCATCACAGCCTATCGGGCTCATGGCTTCACCTTTACTCGAGGGCTTTCTGTCCAAGAAATTCTCACAGAGCTTACAGGACAAAGAGGAGGCTGTGCTAAAGGAAAAGGAGGTTCAATGTATATGTATGCCAAGAACTTTTACGGGGGCAATGGCATCATCGGAGCTCAGGTGCCCCTGGGAGCTGGGATTGCTCTGGCCTGTAAGTATAATGGAAAAGATGAGGTCTGTTTGACTTTATATGGCGATGGCGCTGCTAATCAGGGTCAGATATTTGAAGCTTACAATATGGCAGCTTTGTGGAAATTACCTTGTATTTTCATCTGTGAGAATAACTGCTATGGGATGGGGACATCTGTTGAGAGAGCAGCAGCCAGCACCAATTACTATAAGAGAGGTGACTTTATCCCTGGGCTGAGGGTAGATGGAATGGATATTCTATGTGTCCGGGAGGCGACAAGATTTGCAGCTGCCTATTGTAGATATGGAAAGGGGCCCATACTGATGGAGCTACAGACTTACCGTTACCATGGGCACAGCATGAGTGATCCTGGAGTCAGTTACCGTACCCTGGAAGAAATTCAGGAAGTAAGAAGTAAGAGTGACCCCATCATGCTTCTGAAGGATAGAATGGTGAACAGCAATCTTGCCATTGTTGAAGAATTAAAGGAAATTGATGTTGAAGTGAGGAAAGAGATTGAGGATGCCGCTCAGTTTGCCACAGCTGATCCCGAACCACCTTTGGAAGAACTAGGCCATCATATCTACTGCGGTGATCCGCCTTTTGAAGTTTGGGGTACAAATCAGTGGATCAAGTTTAAGTCTGTCAGTTAATGGGAACTCTGTGTTCTCAACTTGGTTGAGAAAAAAACCCATAAAAAGAAAGGATGTCAGTTAAGATAGTAATTGCTATCGAATTTACCGAGTATCATAATTCTTCCAAGTGGGAAAGATACCTCAAGACAAAT